AGGAGGAGGAGGAGGAGGAGGGATGAGATGTGGACGGGGAGTAGGAGTCCTTCATGAGGTGGCAGGGAGAAGGTAGAGGGTGACGGGTGGAGGGTGACGGGGATGGGTAGCTGGAGGGGTAGGGGGTGGGGTAATGGGGGGAGGAGTGGAGGCGGAGAGGGGATGAGGATGAGAGGAGGAGGAGGAGGAGGAGGAGGAGGAGGAGGAGGAGGAGGAGGAGGAGAAAGAGGACGAAAGGTGGAGGTGGAGGTGGAGGTGAAGAGGGAGGCTCGCAACAGTTTCCGACAAATCAAATAACACAACGCCTCGTCGCGCGAAAACACAGCAGGACGGCCCATTGAATTGGGGAGGTGCTCTCGCGGCGTATCTCAAGGGGCTTTGGTGGCCCTGGGGGCCCTCTCGGGCCCTGTTGGGGCCGGGCCCCCTTCGGGCCTCTACATATGAAGGCTTTGCTGGGGCTCTCCTTTCTCCCGTTTGGTGGGCCTTGAACGCATGCCCAGCTCACTCTCACTGCCGCAGTGCAAGCAGCACTTGTGGTACTGAGGGTCAGTGGCATAAGCTGCAGCGGTAGTGGCAGGAGCAGAGGCGCTTGTTGCTGCAGTAGACGTAGCAGCGCCCACAGACTTCACAGTGGTACCGCCGTGACGATGTCAGCGCAAACGAAATTTCGGCACGTGTGACATTGATAACGGTATGAGCAAAAGGATTCGCCAATGTTGACGCAGGACGACGGAGGCGAATGCAAACAACGATGAGAACGAGTGACGAGAAAACGGTTGCGATTGACACGAATTTAGAGTAACCGTAACGGGCATAGCAGGCAGAGAGCGGTGGCGCGTTTCCAGACATTCGACAACCCGATCTCATCGAGTCGCGAGTCCCCGGATATCCCGACCCCTGTCAGGGCCATATTTCCAAACGGAGCCGTTTCTTGACGGGCTCGTTGGCTTGGAAACGGCGCCCTAAGGCGTCGGCAACGGCGGGGACCTTCCAGCTGGGCTTCTTGCCGAGTCTCCAGAAGGCTCGGAGGGCATGAGCATCATCGTCGTCGTCGTCGTCGTCGTCGTCGTCGTCGTCGGCTGAGGCGCAGGCGCGCTGAGTCGTCGTGTGTGGCGTCCCCGCAGGCGGCGGCGGGGGGCGGAACGGGTGCGTCGTCTTCCTCCACGGGGGCGGCTGGCTGGGCGGCGCGCCTTCGCAGCCCCGCGCTCGGCGCGTCCCCCCCCCGATGTGGGCTGGAAGCCGAGGCGCCGAGGCTGGAGGGGCTCCAGAGGGCTGGCCACAACCATGGTGTCCCGGGGGAGGCCCAGCCTTCAGGGTCAGCGGAGCTGGCCGCAAGGCCTTCACAACGAATCCCACCCGCCCGCCAGGTCGCGAGTGATGTGGGGAGTTTCCTCTTCCGTCTTCCCTCTTCCCCTTCGGGAAAAGGTTTACCACGGCTTCGCTCTCTGGGCTGCCCCTCGGATCTCGGCCGGGGAGCGCCGTCGTGGCCGCGGCCCGCCGTGGCCAGGACGGCCCCTGCGCTCCGTGGCCCCCCGAGGGTGCCCGCGGGTCGGGCGGCTCTGCCGCGCCGCAGCCGATGGCGCTCGGCCGGCCCAGGCCGGCCGGCCGTGGGTGCCGCTGCTGCGTGGGCCGCGCCCCCTCCTGGGCTGCCTGCCTCCTCCATCCTCCCTCTCCTCCTCTCTCTCTCCTCCCTCCTCCTCCTCCTCCTCTCTCCTCCTCCTCCTCCTCCTCCTCCTCCTGCTCCTCCTCTCCCTCCTCCTCCTCCTCCTCCTCCTCCTCCTCCTCCTGGGGCTGAGAGTCGAGACCCACCCGTTCCAGAGCGTGCTGGTAGGCCGTCGGAGCGTTCCGTCGGAGCGTTCCGTCGGACGCTCTGAGATCACCGCGGCGCCCGAGGCATCCTCCGAGCCCGCCGATTCGCAGAGGCTGCCGAGTCGTATCGGTCCCATGCAGCGGAATGCAGGGCTGGGTTAAGACGTCTTACCTCAAGAGGGGGAGGAGGAGGAGGGAGAGGGGGAGGGGAAAGAGGGAGGAGGAAGAAGGAGCAGGTGGATGAGGAAGAGAAGGAGGAGGAGGAGGAGGCGGTGCACGCAAGAGTCTGCTGGTAGAGAGAGTGGCGGGTCCTTGTTAAATTAACTCTACGAGACATGCTGTCTCGATGCGGTCCTCGTCTTCACTGCCTGCGGCGTGCCGGCTTCAGTCGTTTTCGGTTTCGGTTCTGCGCTGGGTTCGGTCGGCTTTCGGATGCGCCGTCGCCGTGGGTGGTCTTTCGTCCTGGAGGTCTCACGAGGCTTCTTGGGGAGGGGCCCGACGCGCGTCCCATGAACCTCGAGGCTGGGACCCCGACTGCGGGCGGATTCGCGCTGAGCCTACGTCGACGCGGCGGCGATCCCAGCTCAGGCGTTCAAGGTGGGTGGCCGCCAGTGGACCAGCATCGGCCGTTACCAGAGTATCCGCGCTATCGACAAGCCGCGATCGTTCAAGGCTGAGCCATCCGAGCGCGGGGTCCGAAACCAACGCCGACGTCGTCACGAGTCGACCCTGCTGCTGTACACTGATCAGCCCATCTACTCGTGACAGGGGGGCGACGGAAGAAAACGGGGTCGTCTGTACGGACATTGGCGCGTAAGCTGCCCGCGTAAAGTCGCGCGCAGGCGCCCTCGTGCCCTATGTGGCGCGCCCCCCTGGCGATCCGCGAGAGCCGCGGCGTAAGGTCGCCACGTCTTCGTGCGCAAGACCCGTGTCTGTCCGTCGCTCATGTGAACAGAAAGTGACATATAAAAACTCGGAGGTCCGCGCGGATTTCTCGGATCGGCGCTGGACACCCCTCCCTGGCGCGCGGAGCGCGCCAGGGGCGGCGCCGGAGGCGCCGCCAGGGGGCCCCAGCGCCGAACCGAGAAATCCGCGCGGACCTCCGAGTTTTTATGTTTATGCCACTTTCTGTTTCCCTATGTGAAGCGCTGGTGCGGCAGCAGCCCCCTGCGACCCCACCCGCCCGCCACCCCCGTGCGCGCACGCCCCCCCGCGGCGGCTCAGGTTCTACCCATACGCCCGCCGCGTCTCGGGCGACTTCGGGGCCACGGTCGCCCTCTGCGAGTTCCGGAGCGCCCTGTCGCACCCAGGCGGCCCCGCACGGCGCCGCTCGGCGCGGCGCGCGCGCGGGCGGCTCGCGCGCGCGGGCGGCGTCGCTTCGGCGAGGCTCTGGGGAAGACAGCGACAACGATGACGACGACCATAACGACCGCGCCACGTATTCCCACTGGTGACAGCAGGAGTGAAACACTGATCGTTGCGATCGTTGCCATCGCTGCCATCGCTGCGATCGCTGTCGTTGTGGGGGAGCTCGGGGGGCAGCGGCCGCCCTCTGCAAGCTCGGGGGGGGTGCTCTGCCGCGCCCGGGCAGCGAGCACGTCGCGCGGCACGGCGCGAGGTGCGCCCCCCCGGCGCGCAGAGGGCCGCTCCCGGAGGCTCGCAGGGGCCCGCCTCGGGGCAGGCTCGCGGGTGCCCCCGGGTGCCTCCACGGGCTCCCCTCCTCGGCCTGCCCGGACGGCGGGCGGGCTGCAGCCCGTGGCCTCGGGCGCGGCGGCGTGGGGGGGGGGGGCCGCCCCCTCGAGGGCGCTCGGCCACCTCGGGCTCCGGCGCGCAGCGGCGGGGCCGCAGGCGCGGTGGGCGCGGATGCCTCCAAGCTCGGGCGCCTCGACCACTCCTCCTCCTCCTCCTCCTCCTCCTCCTCCTCCTCCTCCTCCTCCTCCTCCTCCCCTCGCTCCTCGTCTTGGGCTGCGGCATCGTGCGCAGCGTCGCGCTCCTCCCGGGCGCGGCCTGCATGAGGAGCTCGTCCGTGGACGTCCGACCGACCGACCGACCCTGCGTGCCGCGCTCGGGATCCATCCGATGCGGTTCGACTCACTGGCTGGGGCCGCCATCCCGAGCTGCTGCGATTCGGGTTGGTTCAGCGGCATCGACCAGGGCCGGCCGGAGCCCGGCGCGGCGATCCGATCTCGATTCGGCTCGTGACCATCCGCTGGCGCCCTAACCCGATCCCGCAGTTCGACTCAGCTCAAGCCTGCTCTCGCTCCTCGCCAGCGCTCCTCTCCTCTCCTCCGTGCCCGGCTTTCTACCGATTTAAGCGGCGAGCGAAGGGGAGAAGTGAGAAGGAGAACGCCTTCTCAGAAGGCGGCGGGGCTTCTCGGAAGCGCCCTCCGGCTTTCTGCGAAGTTTGGGGCATCTTCGGGGAAGGTTCAGAACATTTCCCAGAAGGCCGGGGGGGATTTCCCAGCCTGGCGGCACCGCGGCGGCACCGCGCCCGCCCGACTCCCGAGCGGCTGGCACTGCTGTGCGCGCCCTTCCGCTGCCGCGGCAGAGCGGCGGCCGTCCAGCGAGCCCGCAGCTGCATATCTCCGTTGTGCCGTTCGCCAGTCTCCAGAGGTCCCGGGAGGTCCCGAGCAGTGCCAGGAGGTCCGGGGAGGTTCCCGGAGGCCTCTTGGGAGGCTTCTTGGGGAGGGTCCCGACGCGCGTCCCATGAACCTCGAGGTTGGGACCCCGACTGCGGCGGATTCGCGCTGAGCCTGCGTCGACGCGGCGGCGATCCCAGCGCAGGCGTTCAAGGTGGAGAGCCGCCAGTGGACCAGCATTGGCCGTTACCAGAGTATGCGCGCTATCGGAAAGCCGCGATCGTTCAAGGCTGAGCCATCCGAGCGCGGGGTTCCAAACCAACTCCGACGTCGTCACGAGTCGAGCCCCTTCCTTCGCATCCATAGGCTCTTGATTGGCGTGGGGGGAAGAGGACGGGGTGAGTCTTCCAGCTACTCTTGCAATTTGTCATCGTCGCTCCGCCTCAATGTGTTTTTGCGCTTCCGTGAGCGTCATGGCTTTATTTGATTCGTCATTTGTATCCAACCACCTCCCGAAAACTTCGCCGGGGAACAAGTGATTCGTCGCGTGAGTGCACAGGCCAACTGGCTGGTTGGGACGAACTGCGACAATCGACCCGAACGTCTCCCTACATACAACTCACGCGCTGGATGGTGGTAGCATGTCGTCCCTGCTGCTTTGACGAGAAGGGATCGCGGATGAGTTTTCCTCCTCCTCCTCGCCCTTGGTCCTCCTCCTTGCCCGTGGCCTGGCCCGAGCGCCCTCCTCCCGCGGCAGGCTCGCGGGTGCCAGCGGATTCAGTGGCCGACGCGGGGCGCTGCGTGCGCTATATCCAGGACAAGGCTGCGCCCCGCCCTCCCCGTTCTTCTCCTCCTCTTCCCCCTCCCCTGATATCACGAGCTTACATGTGAAACGTATTAGGCAGGCATCTTGCCAGACTCGCTTAGAATATTGAGCGGATTACGCTCCTTGTTTTCCAGCACCGTGTATCGACATTTCGAGTGACAAGCATGCGCACCACGCAGTCGGCGTGTTTGTGAGGTTATCAGCGATTTGTAATAGTTTCTTGTTCCTTCTGTCCGCTCTGCTTGTCTCTGCTTCCCACGGTGGTATTTCTCACCCATCTTTCTTGCATCACATTTTTGGCGCCACGGCGCCACCGCTCTGTTCCTAGAGGGAAAGCGCTCCAGCGCGTGTAGAAAACGTCCGTCCGTCCGTCCTCCTCACTCCACGTCCTCCTCCTTGTCTGCCCTGTTCAATTTCCTCACTTTCCGCCTCCTCATGCCTCGTGCCTCATGCATTATGCCTCATGCTTCATGCCTCATCATCATCATCACCACCATCATCATCATCATCATCAGCATCATCATCATCATCAGCATCATCATGATCATCACCAGCATCATCATCATCATCACCATCATCATCATCATCATCATCATCAATATCATCATCATCATCATCATCATCATCATCATCATGATCATCATCATCATCATCATCATCTTCATCTTCATATTCATCTTCATCTTCATCTTCATCTTCATCTTCATCTTCATCTTCATCTTCATCTTCATCTTCATCTTCATCATCATCATCATCATCATCATCATCATCATCACCATTTTCATCATCATTATCATTACCATCATTATTATCATTCGCGTTTTCATTACTGTTTCATCGATTCGCTCATTCCGCCGGCCCGTATTGGTGCACGGCTGTCGAGTGCCCGTGTGATCGTTGTCAATGGGGTGCTGCTGGGTTTTTTTTTTTTTGTTTATGGATGGCTGGCTTTGGGTGATTTCGCAGGCGGGAACCATTCTCTGCCCGCCTGAACCTTCCGTTTCGGAAGGTGGCGGCTCGTGAATACGATCGCAGGGAACAAGACAACATTCTGCAGTTTCCTTTTTGCATTCTTCGGGTCCCTTGTTGCTTGTTGGGCCTCTTTGAAGCCTCTTGGGGCGTGGAGCGGAAGGCTCGGATTTTCCGTTCGTGGTCTCCATTTTGGACCTCTCTTGGGGCCTTCTTGGGGTCCTTTTGGATTGTCTTGGGCGCCTCTTGGGCTGTCGTGGGGCTCTCTTGGACGGTCGTGGGCCTCTCTTAGAGGCCTCTTGGGCCGTCTTGGGGTGGTCTTGGAGGCTTCTTGGGCCGTCTTGGAGCGTCGGAAACGCGAAAAGGCGAGGAAGCCAAAAACTTTGAAACACCCAATGGAAATCAATGGTTTTGGCGCTCTGAGGCTTCGTGGACGTTCATTGGGATCTCGTTCGATGCCTCTCGAGGGCTTCTTGGAGACTCTCGGGAGTCGTTGTCGAGCCGCTTGGGGTCTCTTTCGGGCCCCATGTTGCCTTTTGGGGCCTCTTGGGGGCCTCTTAAAGCCTCCAGGAGGCCTCTTGGAGCGGAAGGCTCGGATTCTCGGTTCGTCGTCTCCATGTTGGGCCCCTCTTGGGGCCCTCTTGGGGTCCTTTTGGACCCCTCTTGGGCGCCTCTTGGGCTGTCGTGGGGCCCTCTTGGGCGGTCTTGGGGCTCCTTTGCAGGCCTCTGGGCCGTCTTGGGGTGGTCTTGGAGGCTTCTTGGGCCGTCTTGGAGCGTCGGAAACGCGAAAAGGCGAGGAAGCCAAAAACTTTGAAAAACCAAATGGAAATCAATGATTTTGGCCTGTTGGGAAAGGGTCGGGGCTCTGTTGGGACGTCTTGGAAGCTTCTTGGGCCGTCTTGAGGCTGTGTTGGGCGTCTTGGGCCGATCGTTCGGTGATTCGGAACCCTCTTGGACCGTCTTGGAAACCTGTTGGGGCCCTCTTGGCGCGCTCCGGGGAGCGTGGAAGGCCGCACCCAGGAGGACAACCATCTCTGACCCGAGTTTGCCGGGAGTGTCCCGGGACCTTGCCGGGGTACTTTCCGGCTGGGGACCCCCAGCGGCCGCTCCGCGCGCGCGAAGTATAAAGTTATTGTTAACCAGTTACCGGAGATCTTAGCACGCCTCTGGCCCGTTGGGCCAGCGAATTAACATTATCAGTATCATTATCATTATCATTATCATTATCATTATCATTTTCATTATCATTGTCATTGTCATCATCATCATCATCATCATCATCATCATCATCATCATAATCATTATCATCATCATCGTTATCATTATCATTATTTTCATTATCACCACCATTAGCATTATCATTATCAGTCCCATCACCATTATCATTTTCACTATGATTATCGTCATCATTATGTTTATCGTTTCTCATGTACCTTCGCATTATCATTATCATTATCATTACCATTATCATTATCATTCTCATTATCATCATCGTCATCAGCATCAGCATCAGCATCAGCACCAGCATTAGCATAAGCATTAACATCATCATCATCATCATCATCATCATCATCATCATCATCGTCATTCCCCCTCCTCCCCCTTCTCATCCTTCCCTCGTTCTCCACCCTCTTCCTTCTGAATCAGTTTTCCCTGTCGCAATCCCCGACGTGTCAGTGGGGCGGGCCAGGCGTTTCGCCTGAGATTCTTGACCAATTTCGATCGTGAAGCCTGGAGTTTGCAAAGGTTGCAAGGATGGAAGGCTGGAGGTTTTCAAACTGTGGCTCTGACCTTAACACCGCGCGCATTCGCTGCAAACTAATGCAACAGTTACAAAGATGGTGCACAGGTAGTTTGAACAAATTGATCTCGCCTTAGCGACGCGCACATTTGCTGTCAAACTTCGTGACAGCATCAAGGATGGAGCTCGGGGCATTTTCAAAATGCGGCTCTCGCTGTGGTACCGGGCACAGTCATTCGAATTAGCCTGGCGAATGACCCAACCATGTGCAGTTGTGAGTGCCGCACTTGTGAGTACCGTCTTCGGTGGAGCTCCCTGTGGGGCCACGAACCCTGTGAGGGGTGCGCCGACTTGAGGGTGGAACTGCATGCGAACGCTGCCGCTGGGGCCTTCGGTGGAGCTCCCTGTGGGGCCACGAAACCTGTGCGCCGAAATGAGGGTGGAACTGCATGCGAACGCTGCCACTCGGGCCTTCGGTGGATCTCCCTATGGGGCCACGGACCCTGTGAGGGGTGCGCGGAAGTGAGGGTGGAACTGCATGCGAACGCTGCACTGGGGCCTTCGGTGGAGCTCCCTGTGGGGCCACGAACCCTGTGAGGGGTGCGCCGAAGTGAGGGTGGAACTGCATGCGAACGCTGCCACTGGGGCCTTCGGTGGAGCTCCCTGTGGGGCCACGAACCCTGTGAGGGGTGCGCCGAAATGAGGGTGGAACTGGATGCGAACGCTGCCACTCGGGCCTTCGGTGGAGCTCCCTATGGGGCCACGAAACCTGTGAGAGGTGTGCCGAAATGAGGGTGGAACTGCATGCGAACGCTGCCATTGGGGCCTTCGGTGGAGCTCCCTGTGGGGCCACGAACCCTGTGAGGGGTGCGCCGAAATGAGGGTGGGACTGCATGCGAACGCTGTCACTAGGACCTTCGATGGAGCTCTCTATGGGTCCTCGAATCTTCTGAGGGGTGCGCCGAAATGAGGGCGGAACTGCATGCGAACGCTGCCACTGGGGCCTTCGGTGGAGCTCCCCATGGGGCCACGAACCCTGCGAGGGGTGCGCGGAAATGAGGGTGGAACTGCATGCGAACGCTGCACTGGGGCCTTCGGTGGAGCTCCCTATGGGGCCACGAACCATGTGAAGGGTTCGCCGAAGTGAGGGCGGAACTGCATGCGAACGCTGCCACTGGGGCCGTCGGTGGAGCTCCCTATGGGGCCACGAACCCTGTGAGGGGTGCGCCGAAGTGAGGGTGGAACTGCATGCGAACGCTGCCACTGGGGCCTTCGGTGGAGCTCCCTGTGGGGCCACGAACCCTGTGAGGGGTGTGCCGAAATGAGGGTGGAACTGCATGCGAACGCTGCCACTGGGGCCTTCGGTGGAGCTCCCTGTGGGGCCACGAACCCTGTGAGGGGTGTGCCGAAAGGCGAACGCTGCCACTGGGGCCTTCGGTGGAGCTCCCTATGTGTCCTCGAACCCTGTGAGGGGTTCGCCGAACTGGGATGGGCATGCGGAGAGCAGAGGCAAGGATGGGAAGCATGAGGGAGGAGGAGGAGGAAGAGGAGGAGGAGGAGGAGGAGGAGGAGGAGGAGGAGGAGGAGGAGGCGGAGGATGAGGAGGAGGAGGAGGAGGAAGGAGGAAGGCGGAAAACGCGGGGCACCGTCTCTTCAAAACGAGGACCCAACACCACAGGATGGTTGGGAACAAAGTGCAACGACTTCAAGGATGGGGAGGGGGAAGGTTAACAACATGTGCTCTCGCTGTAGCGCCGCGCACATTTGTCCAACAAGGGTGCGATTCTTTCACGTACAGAGGGCGGTGTCGGTCCATTAGAGGGGGGAGGTCAGCAGCATGAGCTCTCGTCGTAGCGCCGTGCGCATTCGTCTTAAACGCATCCAGCAGCTCCAACGATGGAATGGGGGTCGTTCAAACATTGGGGCTCTCGGCCTCGTGCTGAGCACATTCGCTGCCAAGGCTTGCGACTTCTGCAGGGATTGAGGGGGTGGGGATCGTTTTCAAAATGTGAATCTCGCCTCAGCGCCGCGCGCACTCGGATCAAGTAACGAAACGGCTAAAAAGGTGGAGGGTGGTTCCTTCTCAAAGTGGGGTACTCGAAAGTGCCGATCACATTCGCTGTAAAAGATTACGACCAACAGCTTCAAGGGTAGAAGACAGTTGTTTCGCAAGTGGGGCCGCCGCCGTAGCGGCACTTACATTCGTTTTACAAGTTTCAATTACCCGGAAGGATGGAAAGTGGTCCTTTTTCGACGATGGGTTCTTCCTTGAGAAGTCTTTACTGCCCGAAACTGGAACATACGTAGCACTGCACGGATATGTGGTGATTCTTTTTCAGAACGGAGCTCTTGCTTGATATGTCCCCGAAGTTCAATCATGACCACAAGTGTAAGCTGGTGCAATAATTACACGGGTGGAGTTTTGGGCGGTCTCTCTTCAAAAGGGGAATCTCGATTGACAGCTCGTTGAGCTTGGTGATCAAGACCTTCTCGTATTTTTGATTACGCGCCAGAGAGATGCAAGGAAGCTTATCTTGTCAACGGTGCCCTGGCCAAAATAGCAGGCCCACGTATTGCTGGTCGTCAACGAAATCTTGTAGGGACGTATGAGAATGGACTTGGGACGGGAGTGTGTATTGACGCATTTTGACTCGTCATGGGTTTACTCTGGTTGTCGTCGTCCTTCTTCTCCTCGTTTTCCTCCCTCGTCCTGCTGCACTTAATCCTCCTCCTCCTCCTCCTTGTCCTCCTCCTCCTTGCCCTCCCCATCGAGGTTCGAGGATTGACGATCAGTGTTCCAAGCTGGGGGACCAAGTTTTTGGGGCTTCTGTTTTCGCCTCCAGAGGCCTCCAGGGGCTCCTTGCTTGGAGAGTTCTGGAGGTCCTAACCCGGCCTTCCCGCTCGGCGATCGCGAGGTCCGAGGATCTGGATCTCCTGACGTTGTTGCAAGTTTTCTTGTGCCTCCAGAGGCCTCGCGGCAGACCTCGAGGCTTGAGAGGCCTTTGGGGGACTCCTGGTGTATCTTTCACAGAAGGCCTCGCAGATTAGCAGGACTGGCGAGCGGACGATTTGCAGTCTGCTGGGGCTCATCAGACAGCAAGTCTCCTCTATTGGACAGCATGTGTTTTTCAAGCGGGCAAGACTTGCTGCCAACATGTCGAGAATCGTTGTCAGAAGGGCCCCGAAGAAGAGCAACTCGTGTTCCTCATGTACAGGCGCTGCTGTTGGGCATCGCACCCCGAATTTCCGTCCCCATTCCAGGCGTGCAACGTGGGGGGCACCGCCGCGGGTACGGGGCGTTGCTCTGAAGCAAGCGGGTTGTGAGGCTTTTCCTGATTTTCTGGCTTTCTAGGCCCTCCCCATGTCCGGGGACCGTGAGACAACGGCTGGGGGGATGCAGGGCTCTCGCCGCCCGCAGGGCCCGTTTCAATCACGTTGTGGATTCCAGGAGGTTTTCGGGCCCCGTTGATGTGTTCCATCCGTAGACGTAAGTCGGGCATGTCCCTCTACAGGAGGAGATTCAAACATTTGTCAACATATATAGCCTGGGGACGATTTTTCGGCAATTCTTGACGTTTCGCGTATCCCCACCAGCAGTGACACGCCCTCTGGACTTCTCCTTGCGGGCCGCAAATCAAAAAAGTATCCCCACCAGCTTTTTTCGCCTCGCTACCGGCGCGGCCCGCCCTAGCACGCTCGGCGTTCGATTCGTTTCGCGCCCCCGTGAACCAAACAAGTATCCCCACCAGCCCATCCAGAAACGATGCCCATGAGAGCTGACGGGGGGAGAGAGGAAGAAAGGCCGCCATGTCGAGCCGTCTTGGAGCGGTCTGGGGGCCTCTTGGGGCATCTTGGGACCATCTTGCGCCAGCTTTCACTATCTTGAGCCATCTTGGAGGTCATCTTGGGCTCTCTGAGGCCGCTTGGGGGCCACTCGGGGGCCTCTTGGAGGCCTCTCGGGGGCCTCTTGGAGCCCTTTTGGGGCCTCTTGGGGCGCGAGTGGGACCCTCTTGGGGGCCTCTGGGGAGCCCTGGAGGGCCTCTTGGGGCCATCTTGGAGGGGGTCGGCCAAAAGAGGGGGGGTACTCGATTTAGGTCCCCCCCTCGAGGGCCACGATCCTCGTGAGGGGTGGCAGAAAAATTGCCCTCCCAATTGCCGAAAAAGGAGCCTCCGACACCTCGCGATCCCTCCCAAAAAACCTCAGGGAGGGGATGTGGAGAGGGTAGGGTTGTGGAAGAGGAAAGAGACCCTACTCAGACAACCTGTCACCGAAAGGACTGGTGGCATTTTTGTTTTAGAGTACGTGTTGACAATTTTTCTTCTTCTTCCAAGACCCGCCTGTAGGAGGACATACCCGACCTAGCCGCAGACGCGCTAACGGCGATGTAGGTAACGGCGATGTAAGTTTCGGCATTGTAGGCGGGGGTGGTTCGTGGCCAACCCACTTGTAGGAAAGGCCCGTTCGCGTTTTCCTACAGTTTATTCCGCGCGAGTTCGGCGTCGCAGAACCAGATTCCCAACGTCGCCGTCAACCGACATCGCCGTTGGCGTGGCTTTGGCCCACCAGCTGCACGTCGTCGGGAGCCGTGCGCAAAGCCCAGAGTTGTCCCGAGCAGCCTTCGGGGTCCCGAGGGCAGGCCCGAGAGCCACTCGGAGGGACCTCGGGCCAGAAACGCCCGGGTATCGGCGCCGGCGCGAGGAGGCCGTGCCGGGCACCAGATTTTGCCAGCAGGCCTTGCCTGGTGGTGCCTCGGCTGGCTCGTGTTGTCGGGCGGCGAGCGAAGGGGGGGAAGCGAGAAGGAGAAGGCTTTCCCAGAAGGCTCGGGTATGGCCCTCTGAGAACTTTTCTGGGCCTTATCCGGAGACGCAGGCACAACTTTCCAGAAGGCGCGAGGGCTTCTGGGAAGCGCCGCCGCCTACCCCCTTGTGCGCGCTGCCAATCAGGGCCCTGTGTCGAAGAAAACAGACAGACAGCGGATTTCGTCGATCGGAGCTGGGCTGCCCCTGGCGGCGCCTCCGACGCCGTCCCTGGCGGGCTCAACGCGCCAGTGGGGGGGTCCACCGCCGATCCATGAATTCCGTGTGGACCCCCCGAAAGTTTCACGGTAGTTTTTTTCTTACTTTGAAATGGCCCTGTGGCCATAGCTTTTGCGGTTCCTGTCCCTGGTCTTCTGGGGGCATCTTCCTTGGCATTGTACTGCATTGCATTTCAGTGCAGCGCTTCTGCATCTGCATCCCTTTGGCTTCATTGCGTTGCTTTGAGTTGCACTACTTGGCGCTGCGTTGCTTTGCTTTGCTTCGCATGGCATGACCTTGCACTGCTTTGCCTGGCATTGCATTCATTTGGGCGTCTTTGTTTGTCTGTGCTGCAGCATGTGTACAGTATGATAATTGTCTGACGTCGCCACCCTTCGCTGCTAATCTCGGCCTGGCGCCTTGCCAGGGCGCTTGTGTGTTATCTGTCTCCGAATGGGCCACTTTGTCTGTGTCTGTCCATTTGCGTTTCGTCGGAGGACAGTTTGTGTGCGTTTCATTGCGATTCATTGCACTGTTTCGCATAGGTTTGTTGCATAGCACTGCTTCGCGCTGCAATGGAATTGTAATACAGTTCGGCTCGCGGAAACACAGTTGCGACGCGATCTTCTGCCTTGTGCTACAGAGCAACGCACCTCAGTCTAAGCCGAGCAGCAAAGCAAGGCGTAGCGCACAGCAGAGCAGAGCAGGGTAACAAAAGTTAAGCGACGCAAGGCACGGCAAAGCAAAGCAAAGCAAGCAACATAATGCAACGCATTTTCGATGCTCCGAACCGCAGGCAAACCAGGGCAACACAAGACAATGCAAGCCACATCAGAGCACCACAACGGCGCACCTTGTGACAGCGAGCTTCTCTTTCATTGGCTCGGTGTGCTGTTCTGCGCGAGCGTCAGCTTGCCGTCGGCAGTGAATTTAGCAGTCTGTCTCCAGCTGGCGTTGAGCCGTCTTCCAGCACTGAGAGTGGAGCCCTCATCGGGTTCGTGATGGGCTCTTGCGTGGACTCCCGGAGGCGTCTGGTCCGCTCGCGCGACCCATAGAGGGAGAGAGGAAGAGAGAGTACCGACCCCCGTCTTCCCACGGTCCTATCTTTGGGGGTCGGTTTTCCTGGTGGACGGCGTCTCCGCGCCAGTCCACGAGGCCGTGATCGCCAAGATGCAGCGGATGCTTTCTCATTTGGATGGGTTACTCATTAAGGGGGGGGGTGATGAACCTTCTGACAGAGCCTGCCCAATCCCGCCCCCCTCCCTCCATCCTCCTCCCCCTTCTCATCATCCTCCTCTTCCTCCAACCCCCGCTCCACCCATTCTCCGACAGCACGTGCCCAACACCCCCAGTGGATCCAAGGGGGGGGGGCCATTATTGCCCCACCCGGAGTAGGTGGCAGAGCGTCTCCTCAACTTGCATAGGCTGCAAGCAGCCCCCTCGGGATTCCCTTTCGCGCCTGCAGCTGCTGGGCTGCCTGCGGACAGGAGGGCGAGGCAGCACGAGGCATGCACCCGTCTTCCCGGTCCGTGGGGTCCTGCCAGGTCGTGTCTGTGCAGGTGGGCGAGGCCCCGATCGCATCGTTGCTCCTTCTAGGCTTGTGGATGCCGCTTTTGCCCTTGTCGTTTTGTTGGATGCTGTATCGTTGGGCTTGCCTCGCCTGGCAGTGCTGGATTCGACCGCAGGCCGATGAGTTCGAGATCGACCCGTCCAAGGTCGTCCTCGCTGGGGCCAGCAGCGGGGGCCAGGCAGGCCGCACAGGAGGAGGATGAGGCTCAATGAGGAGGAGGAGGGAGGAGGAGGAGGAGGAGGAGGAGGAGGAGGAGGAGGAGGAGGAGGAGGAGGAGGAGGAGGGTAACGAGGCACTTTGCATCCAGTTTCCTTTGAGCTCCTCGGACTGGGCGATTCGCCACCACAATCGTCTAGGAGGCAGTCTGAGACACTGCATTTTCCGTGCTGGCCAAGTCTGCATATTCTCCTTCGCTCGCCTCGTCCCCTTGGGAATCTCGATGCGTACGTACAGAGGCGATGTCTTTCATTTGAATTTTAGACTTGAGAGTAGTCAGTTTTTTGACACTTTGTGACTTGTACGCGGTGTGTTCTTCTACATGCATGGTGGACAAGCCAAGATGCAGCATGATGTGGTTGCTAATTAATGATGTGGCGCGGTATGACGTGACAGGGAATTCCGAGCCCTTGGATGCTATGGAGTTACGTGGTGAGATTTGAGGCTCGGCCACGGCACTACCTGAAGGGCTCCGCTCTCTGCTGCCGGCCCCTCCTCATATTGCTTGCATGGCCACGCCTGATCTGTGGGCTGGTTGGTTTCTTGTCGGTTGGCTGGCTGGCAGCTCGGCTGATTGGCTCGTTGTCTAAATCGATAGTGGTTAGTTGATTTGGGCTGTTAGCTGGCTGGCTGGTTGCGCACGTCTGTATTTTAGTAATGACTCAGAGATTGTTGCCTCGGGAGCGCGCTTCCATGATCATGCGCTAGGGTTCGCGGCGTCGGGAGCGCGCGCTCTCCCACCTATTCAAAACATAACTCGTGGCCTCGGGGCCAGGTCCGAATTCTCAGGAATCGCCAGGGGGCAGAAAAGCGAACGCCCGAACACATGTTCGAGTACAGACCCGAACACATGTTCGAGTACAGAAAATGTTAGTCTCCCCCTCTGGATCGGGGGTGGTGGCGTGGCGCTTCTGGGCAGCCTCTGTCGGGAACGTGCTGTGTTTCAGAAGGGATTTGGGCCTCGGGGGCGCGACTCCATTTTGATTTACCATGGGTTGTGGTCTGGGGGGTGCGCACCCGTCGTAATTTGCAAGGGGTCGTGGCCTCGGGGAAACGACGTTGTAACTTTTGGGAGATTGCGGCTCTGGGATCGCGAGCCCGTCCTAGTTTTCAGGGGTTGTGTCCTCGGGAACGCGAATCCGCGGTTAATTTACCTCGGGAACGCGAACTCGTAATGACCTCGGGAACGCGAGCCCGTAATCATCTGTAAGGGATTATGGCATCGGGACCGCGAATGTTTGTTGTATTTTGCGTGTCCCAGCGCCCCACATCAATTCTGAGGATGTGATTCTGGGAGGGGGTGCCAGCGTGATGCTGCCCCAAGCTGCCCTGTGGCCCATGGGGCCCCTGGGGCCCCCTTGGCCTCGCGAGGTGTGATCTGGAGGCTATCTGGGCCCCCCTGGACCAGCTGGGGTCAACTTCGGCCAGTGCCACCTCGGCAACGCCCGACTGGCTGGTGGGCCCTCCGATGCTTCTTGGGGCCCTCCTGGAGCTCTCCTGGGCGCTCTCGCGCCCTCCCCAGCGGGAGGGGGACCGCTCCGCGATTTGCCGCCAGGTGGCCGCGATGGCGGCACTGGCCAGCCCTGGGCTGCAGCTCTCGGGCCTGGTGCTGTTCAACCCCGTGCTGGACATGCGCTTCGCGGAGGCCCGGGGCCGCAGAGGGCAGTGATACTCACCGCCACCATCCTGGGTTGTCCTGGGCCCTATAGGGGGGTGTGCAGACCTGTGGACCCTCCTTGCCGATGCCACAAGGCTGTATCCAGGGCTCAGGATGGCTGTGGCCAGGGATGGTGATGGTGTGCCGCTGCCGCTTCCGAATCAGGGACCAGCGCTAGGGCTCACAGCCATCCCGCGACCAGAGATCACAGCTAGCTGCTGCTGCTGCTGCTGCTGCTGCCTCCTCCTCCTACTCACCGCTTCTTGCTGACTCCATCGGCCCGAGATGCTCGTGCCAGTGCCGCCCTCCTCTCGCGCCGCCCCGCCCCCGGCTCCAGCAGCGCGGCGGGGGCATGGCGGAGTCGCCGCAGCCACCCGAGGGCTCTGGCGATGGCGCGCAGCCGCGGGGGCACCCTCCGGAGCTGGAGCTCCTGCGCCGCATGCGGGGCGCCCTGGCCGCGACCGCCCGCGCGGGCCCGGCCGGCGCCGCCCCGGCGCACGCCGCGCCCGGTTCGGACTTTGCGCGCCTGCCGGCCGAGTCCTGGGCGTGCGTGGGGGCGCTGCTGCCCGACGGCTGCGCGGCGCGGGGCGCGGCGGCCGCGCGCGCGCTGGCGGGGGCGCTGGCGTCCGAGGAGCAGTGGCGCCGCCGTGCCGCGCGGGCCTGGCGGCAGAACCCCGGGGGGCTGCTCTCGCCCCCCGAGCTGGAGTCGCTGCTGCACGGGCCGGCCTGCTCCCGGCGCGGCTACGCGGCGCGCAGGGCCCTGCTGAAGGGGCAGCGGGTGGCGCTGCTGGCCGAGGGCCGCGAGGCGGCGGCGCTCGCGCAGCTGGTGCGCTTCTTGGGCGGCAGCGTGGGCGGCGGCGGGCGCGGCGGCGGGGGCGGCGAGCGGCGCCCCCGCGGCGGCGCCTGGCCAGGGGACGGCGGCTGCGACCTGGCACTGCTGGGGCGCCGGGGGGGCCTGTGCCTGCGCCGAGCTGCGGAGGGGGGCGCCGTGGGCCCGATGCCGCGGGGCTGCCGCGCGCTCTCGGGCAGGTGGCTCGCCGCGAGCTGCGTGGCGGGGCGGCAGCTGCCCGCCCACCGCCCGGGCTGCCCCTCCGACGGCTCGCGGTTCAGCCTGCCG